TAGCTTCGATATATGACTTGCATGTTCATCAAATGGATGTCAAGATGGCATTCTTGATGGGGATCTCGATAAGGAGGTTTATATGGAACAACCCGAAGGGTTTGTTCTACCTGGAAATGAACAAAAGGTGTGCAAGTTAGTAAAATCATTATACGGTTTGAAGCAAGCACCTAAGAAATGGCATGATAAGTTTGACTGGGCAATAATATCTTTTGATTTTAAACATAACAGTGTAGATAAATGTTGATATTCTTAATTATGTGAAAATTGTGTGATATTTATTTGCTTATATGTTGATGACATGTTGATTATGAGTAATCACGTGGATGGGATAAAAGAAACGAAGAGCTTTCTATCTTCCATATTTAAGATTAAGGATTTTGGAAAAATGGATACTATTTTGGGTATCAAAGTTATTAAAATAGTGGAGGTTATTATTTAAGTCAATCACACTATATAGAGAGTGATAGATAAGTTCAAACATTTGAACATAAAAGATTGTAATACCCCACTTGATCCAAGTTCGAAGCTTATAAAAAATGATGGAACGGAAATTGCTCAACTAGAATAAACAAGTGCTATTGGGAGTCTCATATATGTTGTTCAATGCACGAGACCGGATATAGCATTTGTAATTAGTAAACTTAGTAGGTTTACTAGTAATCCGAGCAATGATCATTAGAAAGCCATTGGAAGAGTTCTTGGATATTTAAAGACAACCAAGAATTTAGGCTTACAATATACTAAATTCCCGGCTGTATTGGAAAGATTCACCGATGCTAGTTGGATATCTAGCGCGGGTGCAAGTAAATCCACTTCAGGTTGGGTGTTTACNTTAGGTCTACAATATACTAAATTCTCGACTGTATTAGAAGGATTCACTGATGCTAGTTAGATATCTAGCACATGTGAAAGTAAATCCACTTCAGGTTGGGTGTTTACACTAGGTGGTGGGGCTGTTTCTGGAAATCAAAGAAATAGACATGTATAACACACTTAACTGTGGAATCCGAATTTGTTGCACTATCGGAAATCGGGAAAGAGGTCGAGTGGCTTAAGGATCTCTTATATGAGATACCTTTAAGACTGGAGATAATATCTTCTATGCCTATCATGTGTGATAGTCAAGTCACGTTAGCAAAAGCAAACAATGAAGTATAAAATAGAAAGTCTAGACATATGAGTCTAATACACGATTATATAAGGAAATTAATCAAGA